TGGGGGGGGGGGGGGGGGAGAAGAAAAGAAAGTTCATTTTAAGGCAATTTTTTGATTTTCCTGTAAGTGCACGGGCAGCGGACGGCGATTTCTGAGCCCGATTTCCCCCTGGGAAATTCATCCAGAGATTTGCTGGGCAGAGGAACATAAAACCTACCTATTTTTGTGTGCCGCTCTCCTAAAAACAAGTGAAAAACACAGTCGTGTGTTATCTCTCACGGCTTCTGCCCGTCTCCGTTCGCGTAATTTGGAATACAAGACGATTTCTGTTCTAGCCCATATTATCCCCGTTTCTAATTATTTTGGGGTTTTGAATTTCTCTACCGCTGCCTTGAAGATGCTGTTTTTCACCAGGTGGATGAAACGGGCAGAAATAAGTTTGGGTTTTTGTTTTTAGAGCTGCATTTTTCTAAATGCAATTTAATAATTTGTTTGCAATGTAATAATTTTTTTGTAAGTTTTGGTTTTTTTTTTTCCCCCCCCAATTTAATAATTTTTAAAACTCAATAAAAACCGCAAAAGGAAGGAAATGGACTTCCCGAGCTCCACCGTAAATATCCCTTAAAACAGAAAACACCATTAGCTCCCATTAGATTTCCCAAACGCCGCAACAGGAGTCAACCCTTCGCCTCCCCAGCCCGCCTCAGCTGGAAAACCTCCCACAGGAGTTCCCCCGCCCTTGAAATCCAAAGGGTCGTGTCTTCTCACGACCCAAATTTAGTGACGAAATTCCAGCATCCCTTCAACGCTGAAACACCAACCAAACCATCCCGAGCTGCAACGAGGGGGAACTGTCACTCACTGATCGTCGCGTCGCACTTTGCTAAAAAAAAAAAAGAAATATAAAGAAAAATAGATACTGATAAATTTTCAGTGCCTCTGGCTGCCCCTTTCCCCCCCGTTTCCCCCGTAATACGGGAAAGAGGATTACTTACCCAGTTCCGCAGCCAGTTTCCCTAAAGAGAGGGCGATACAAGTTTATTTTAAATAGAGGTTTCTCTCTCTCCTCTCTGGACGCAGTGTAAATAATTCTCTGGTTTAAGCTTACACAGTGTTTTAGAAAATAATATCATGTCTAGTGGAGTAAAATAGGTAATAAAAATGTGTAGCCTGATAATATAAAATAAAAAATGGGAGGGGGAGCAGAAGAAGGGGGAGCAGAAGAAGGGGGAGAAAAACCACTGGTTCTGGCGATACATC